AGACTCCGTGCGCTGGGGACGCCTATTCAGTGGAGTGCTAGTAGTACCGCCGGGCGGTCCCTTACATCATCATTTCCTTTTCACCAGACTTTAACAGCGACATTTTTAAATTGGGAAAGCATTTGATCACATTGATCTTGGTGTGACCAGATGCTTTAAGGGCACAGGAAAGATCTACAGTCGAATAGACCCCAGATTTCTCAGAAAAGAGTACATGTCATTGCCTATTGCTATCACAGGGAATATTTACATTCCCTGTGATAACAATAAAAGTGATTAAAAAAATTTAAAAAAAATGACCCCTGCCCTTCCACATGCTCGTGCGCAAAAGGCGAATGCAAGTGTTGGTCCCGTGTCAGTATGTAAACAGAGATTTCACAATGCATGTGAGGTATCACCGTGAACATCAGATTGAGGGCAGCAATTCTAGCACTACACCTCCTGAGCAAATATAAATTGGTTACCTGTAAAGGCTTTTAAAGCGTCACCTATTGATATTAGAAATATCATGTTTGGTATCCCTTTACTCAGTGTAACGTCGTCTTTTATATTTCACCAAACTATTGGGCAATATATTATGTTTTTGTGCATTCAAATTCTAAAAAGTGTATTTTTCCCAAAAGATATGTGTTTGAAAAATTGCTTTGCAAACACTGTGTGCCTTAAAAAAATTTCAACACCCACCGTTTTATTCTCTAGAGCCTCTGCTTTAAAAAAAAAAATATATAATGTTTGGGGGTTCAATTTTCTAGCAAAAGAAACCAAACAATTTTTTCACATGAACAAACAGTGTCAGAAAAGGCTAGGTGGTGGTATGTGGCAAAAGCTTCTAATGTTGGGCCAGAAATGCCAGGATAGAAGAAGCCAAACACCCCCCCTCCAAATGACCCCTTTTTGGTATTTGCTAAGAGGCACTTTCAAAAAATCTGTGGCAAAAATTAAAATGTTCCATGGACTCAACATGCCTGTCTGCAAAATCCTAGGGATGTCTACTTTAATTTGGGGGGGGGTTGTACTGCCCTGAATCATTTTAGCACCTCAATAATTGTGATAGGAAGTCAGAAAGTGAAAGCTGTGTAAATTCCATACTTTGTAGACACTATAACTTTCACAAAAATCAATTAATATACATGTATTGGGATTTTTTTTGTGCACAGCCATCCAAAGCAGTGTGAACGAGCTGACTGGGAGGAGAACTGTTAGTAAACAAAACAGTTCCCCTCCCGATCGGAGATCCTTGGAAAACACCGGGCGCCGGCGAGTAATCACCGGCCGGAACCTGGTGATTTACAGCCAAGGCCACGAATGGCGGTGCTGGTAGGGCACGTGTGTGGCTCATGTGCGCCCCCTACCCGGAAATGCAAAGTCACGTACAGGGGTGGACTGACAACTCATGGGGCCCCTGGGCAATAAGGGATCATGGGGCCCCTGTGTCCTTGCCCAAACTCAAAAAAGCCTATGAAAAAGGTACCAGGGGCATCTCATGGGGCCCCTACTGACCCCGGGCCCTCGGGCAGTGCCCGAGTTTCCAAATGGTCAGTCTGCCCCTGGTCACGTATATATACGTGATTATGTGCATCTGTGCCGACCCTGTAGCAGTATATCTGCTATAGGGCGGTCGGGAAGCAGTTAAACTTCATGCAAGCCAATGCACTGAAAAGAGGTCCACCTTAATCACCTTACACACAATGCCTACTGGGCACTTTTACCCCCTTCCTGCCCAGACCAATTTTCAGCGCTGTTGTACTTTGATAATTGCACAGTCATGCAACACTGTACCCATATGAAAATTTGTATCTTTTTTTTCACACAAATAGAGCTTTCTTTTGGTGGTATTTAATCACCGCTGGTTTTTTTTTATTTTTTTTCACTACAAACGAAAAAAAAAAAATTTTTTCTTTATTTCTATTATAATATTTTGCAAACAGGTACATTTTCTCCTTCACTGTTGTGCGTTGATGAGGCTGCACTGATGGGCACTGATAGGCGGCACTGATGAGGTGGCACTGGTGGGAATTGATGAGGAGGCACTGATAATGCAGCACTTATGGGCACTGATAGGCGGCACTGATGGGTTCCACTGCTGGGCACCTCTGGGGATGCACTGATAATCAGGGCACTGATAATCAGTGCAGATGTCCTCTGTGACACTTGCCAGTTAGGACACAGCAATCAAATCCAGCGCTGGGTTTGTGCCGCTTGGGGTATGTTCTGGGAGGACGTCATATGACGCCCTCCCAGAACTTGACAACAGCGCTGTAGCCGTCATTCAGCTATAGCCCGATTGTCAAGTGTTTAAAGAGTATGTAAACCCAACATTTCATATTCTTGCTGTACCATATACTTGAATGAAAAAGTATCTTGTTCTCTTTGTATTGCTCCTTTGTGTGAAATCCCTAGTATTCCTGTCAGTCCCTCTGCTTTCTTATTAAAAACTTACCACGTTAGGCATCAGAGCACAGTGTGGTCAGATTTCTAGCTATGCTGGAACTCAGACAGCTCTCCTCTAAAGAGCAGACTTTTTCCTGACACACGCATCCCTACACAGCCATTCACTGGGAAGTTCAATGTACTGCTGTTCCTCCTCCTCCAGCTCTCTGGGAGATCTCTTATAAAAAAGGGGGAAAAGTGTTTTATAATGTATTTTTATATCTATACACAGATGTTTTTGCCTTTCATTTCTATTTTAAACTTAATGGGTTGTTTTACAAGGTGAGGGTTTACATATATTTTAAGAGTCAGTTCACACCACAAAAGTCCTCAAGATCTGCTCTGGATGCTTTTCTGCATGCGCTTTTTTAATGTGTTTCCAGATGCACTCCAGATGCTTTTTTTCTTTCACTTACCTCGTTCCAGTACTGTTCTGTGCAGGAAAAGAGCAGAATGTTGTATTTTTTTTTCTGGAACTGAAATGCACTGGTGTGAACTATGCCATTGGAACCCATATAACCTACTTTCCATGCTTTTTTGAAGCAGAAAAAAAAAGCACTGCACTGTGGTGTGAACAGGCCCTAAGGGTATTTTTGTGTTCTAGCCTGGACTTCAACTTTCACAAGCCAGCTTGCCATGATAAATCACAATATTAGTTTTCCCTGGAATAGGTGGTGAGGGAAAAACTTTTAGTTCTAATGACATCTGTCTAATAGGGTATACTCTCACTTTTATGAGATTTTCGCTCACATCTCATTGTTTCTACAGCGAAGGATATGAAGGGAATTCTCTTCAATGGGATGCAGGGAACAGAATAAAGTACTCTATTAAACATTAAAAAATGAACTGGCCCTTAGTGTTTAAGGGCCGGTTTCACACCACAGAAAAGCACTCCAGATGCGTTCTGGATGCGTTTTTGTTTACAGTTCACACTACAAAAATTCACTCCAGATGCGTTTCTGATGCATTTGCAAGCCGTTGTGGTGCATTTTTCATCACCTCGTTTTTCTTTTTTTCCAAGGTTACCTGTTGTTTTTCCATGCAATGTGTTTTGGTGCCTTTTTGATGCATTTAGATGCTTTCCAGTGCATTCTACTGCCTTTTTGATGCATTTTTCTGTGTTATTATACAGCTCTGTGCAGAAAAAATGCTACACGTTTTTTTTTTTCTACACTGGAACTGACTGCACTGGTGTGAACATTGGAACCCATATAATCTACTGTTAATGCATTTTGATGCAGGGGGGAAAAAAACACACTGGACTGCATTTGGTGTGAACCGGCTCTTAAAATATTGGATTCCGGGGAATGCAACATTTTCCCACGTTATTTCACCCTGGATTTCCTACTGATGAACAGGAAATGCAGATGTTAGGCAAGAGGCAGTCATTAGTTGACTGTACAAAGTAATCCGGGTAGAAAATTAAATGCAGTAAATCTTCAGACAGGTGTGCAGAGGGGAAATATTGGTTATTGTCAACACAGGTGTTTTTCTCATGCCATGCTCTCTGTAAGATGCAATCTATAAAGTAAACAGTAGAGGGTGGTGCTCACCCTTCCAAAATGTAGGACAATAAGTAGAATCATAAGAACAAGTTATATTAGCTGTTGTTTGGTTAAAACTGGATCTTGATTTGAGCAGCTAATTAACCATAAACCTACATTCCTATTAAAATCATATGTATCACAGTTAAATACTAAAACACATGGAGGTTGTGTAATTTTTTTATGCAAATCTTGCGGTCTTTGGAAGTTGTGGCTTTTTCTAATTTTATTTCAGTATATATTTATTTTTCTTTTCTTTCTTTTTCCCTATTCGCACTTGCCAATGATCCTGCAGTAAAGCACATGACATTTTACTGTAGCTAACTCACATCTATGTGCTACAGTTTAGTGTGTTTTATGGAAAAACATAGAGACCTATGCACATCAGTACTTGTAGGCCACCATTAAGGTTGAGTTTCGGGTTCAGGTAGGGCATGGATTTGTTGTGAACCTAACCCGCTGGTGTACCCATGAAGTTGCATCACCACAGCAACCAAATACACAAAATGCACTTCCTGTCCTTTGAACCTTGCTTAGAAGGACAATAACAGAGATGTGTATGATGGAAGAATTAGTTTAATTTCAGTTTCATTTGTAAATAATAGTAAAAAAATAATAAAATAATATAAATAAATAATAATAGTAAATAATTTAATTTCATCATATTCTTAATTTTAGAATGATTAACTATCAGAACCATTCGTTATTTTGGGAGGGTATATATTTGTTGTTCCAAATTGATTTTTATTTTTGTAAGTTCTGTTGTTCTTTTGTTATTTCAGAAGATTGGCTATATTCATTTTAACATAAATAATGAATACACATTCTTTCGTTACAATATTAAGTTGAATCAATTTCCTCATTACCAACTGACTTTGTTGGGCCACACACATACACGGTGAACTTATCCTTTAACCACCTATGACGGGCGCAAGGTGGTTCTCTCGTTCTGGGTGAACGTCATATAACGTCCTCCCACTCTAATCACGTGTGCGCAGCTCCGGGAGCGCGCAGCATGGCGATCGGCAGTGCGCTGTGTCCCTCGGACACAGCGGATCACTGATCAACAGAAAGAGCCGAAGATGTCGGCTCAGTCATGTGATCAGCTGTGTCCAATCACAGCTGATCGCATGTAAATAGGGTAATGCCGGTTATCGGCATTTTCTCTCCTAACGTGCTGGCGGGCTGAGGGTAGGGGACATGTACACTGATCATCAGGGCACTGATGATCAGTGTGCTCTGATGATCAGTGTAGCCCCAGCAGTGCCACCTGTCAGTGTCCATCAATGCCAGCTGTCAGTGCCTCATCAATGGCACCTGCCAGTGCCCATCAGTGCACATCAATGCCACATATCGGTGCCCATCTGAGTTTGCCTTTCAGTGCCACCTATCAGTGCCAGTCAGTGCCACCTATCAGTGCTGCCAGTCAGTGCCACCTATCAGTGCTGCCAGTCAGTGCCACCTATCAGTGCCCGTCAGTGCCGCCTATAAGTGCCGCCTAACAATATCAGTCAGTGCCACCTATCAGTGCCATATATGAGTGCTGCCTTTTAGTGCCCTTCAGTGATGCCTGTCAATGTCCATCAGTGCCTCCTCATCAGTGCTGCCTATCAGTGTCCATCAGTGCAGCCTATCAGTGTACATCACTGTAGCCTCATTAGCACACATTAATGAAGGAGAAAAATCACTTATTTACAAAATTTTATAACAAAAACTAAGAAAATACTTTTTTTTTCAGTTGTTTTTGGTTTGTTTAGCAAAAAAGTGAAAAACCCAGAGGCGATTAAATACCAACAAAAGAAAGCTCTATCTGTCTAAAAAAAATTATAAAATTTCATATGGGTACAGTGTTGCATGACCGCGCAATTGTCATTCAAAGTGTGACAGCACCGAAAGCTGAAAATTGGCCTGGGCAGGAAGGGGGTAGAAGTGCTCTGTAGGCTAGTGGTTAAGGACCAATATCTGTAATGTACAGCGCTGAGCGAACTATTGGCTCTTTATAAATACTGTATAATAATAATAATCTGTCTGCAACAAAATATTGCCCTGATTGATAGCTAGCTTTCAATTGTCAACTCCTTAGCTAGCTTTCTCATTGGGGTCTTTTTTTAAATTTGGGCTTAAAATTGCTATTAAGAGCTCACTCACATGGATATATAAAATGCCATGTTTAGATGCATATAGTCTTCTATGCATCTGATTAGCACTAGGAATCAATGGGGCTGTATACACAGCTGCATTTACAAATGAAAATGTGTACTGAGTTTAGAGACTCACGAAAAACGTAATACACTAGAATTGCATCTAGAGCTGTATATATCTGCAGATTTTATGCATGTAAACACATGAAAACACATGTAAAAGTGTGTAAACTCATGCATGCCTACATGCACAAAGCCATTAGAAGAATTGTTTGCATCTAAATACTGTACCCCTTGAAGTTGAACTTCTACTAGCTCTTCCAGCAAGAATCTCTATTCCATACAGAAAACATGCATATGCTGTGTGAATGTAGCCTAAGATTTTCCTGTTACTGGCCAATTGTACACTGCTGTGTCATCAGCAGTCTCTTATTTCATGTAGTAAAACACCTGCCTGTCCCTAGTACATTTCTGACAATTCTCACTGAATAAAAATGTTCCTTTGCTGAATAGCTTGGGGATATTAGAATGCATCAGACACTTGTTAGTCTGTTCAAGAGCTGTCTTTTTTGCTGCAGCACCTCACTGCATCCACTGGAAAAAAAAGTAAGCATTGTGCCCCCAAATAACAGCACGCCCTTACCCCTTACCTCAGCTTATTAAAATGTAGCTTTTCAGTCACACATTGAGGTGAAAGCCCTCTCTGAAATAACCAGAGCAGTCTATTACTTCAAGCGTTTTTGGGCCACCTCCAGTCAATGGTACATCCTGGTCACCTGTAGTCCATGGATATGATCACTTGTAAGTGTTTTAATTACAACCTTGCCTTGTCAGCCTAACCAAGCAGACACAGGCAGGGACTGCCCTTACAAGGAAAAAATAATAACTTTTCAAATGTAAAATAATGGCTGGGCCTGGACTAGCTTTTGGCTCTCAGCATTATAAAAGGTCATGTTCTTGCCCTTCTGTATTGTTTTAAAGACTCTTGGCCTTTCACATAATGAAAACTCTTGTTTCTGGTTCTCTCTGCACTTCATAAACCACCTTTTTTAAAGCCCTGAGAAATGTTTCCCTCTACTTACACCTACAGGGTTCCTTATAGCCATCATCTCTAGGTGGTGTTCAGTCATAGGCCTTCCTTTTATAATGTTAATACTCAGTTTGCATTGGCATTCCTACCCTTGTTTGCTTCAGTGGGGTCAGGATGGCCTTACAAGGAAAATCAATTTTAAAAAAAAAAAATAAACAGAAATAGTTTTAACATTTTGTGAATATGTAAATCAAATTTGTAAAAAGAATTGAAAATTGGGTCTAGTCTTACGATTTAAAGGATATGCTTACCTTTGGAACATGTTCAATTCGCTTTTAGGGTGGAACATATAGCATGTTCAAGCATCTGCGCCTCCAATCCCTTACTTCCCTGTGTCAGTGGGCAGGGAATCTTCTCTCTGCACCCGCTGTTACAATTGAAAAAACAGTGTGACCATATCATTCATTCAGTTTCCTGTGAATGAATAGCCTATAAGTACCATCGACCAATGAACTATGAGGGTGCTGGTGAGCGGTCTGGTAGTTTTTTGATTCTTCCTGCTCTCAGGTAACTTCCTGCCCATACAAGGTATGGGCAGATAACTATCCTGAGAGTCTGCAGGAGCCTAAGACTGCAATGCATACAGGCTCCTTGAAAAAAAAAAAAATCATAAATGCACATTTTGTTTACCTGCAATGTGCTTTTAATTTTTTTTTTTTTCAAAAGGTGAACTTAGCCTTTACAATTGTACAGCTGACAGCCAATTTTATACTCCTGAGTCTTCTGTTTTTTGTTAATTCTTGTAGTAAACACCTGCCTGTAATCTTTTGTGTCTTATACATTTAGACAATTCTGGCTGTCCGGTCTCTAGCTTTTCTTTCATCTATCATGAATAATGTTTCATTATAAAATACTTGTATGAAAGCAGCTCTCAGATGTCTCACTTCACTGGTATATATGTTATCTTTATGTTTATAGAAATAACTGAAATGGAATAAAACCCTTTATTTTCATATATGTAGCTTTACACCTGAACAACAGAAATTAAAATTCCAGTTGAAGAATTGTGTTCTTTGATCTTCAATAATAATTTTGACTAACACCCCAACACTTCTTCTCACCACCAGCACCCCAAGAATCCCCCTTAGTGCCTGCACCACAACTCTCCTCCTCCTTTTCACCACCAGCACCCCAAAGACTCTTCAACGCCAACACCTTAACCCTCCTATTCCTTTAGCAGTACTAAAATAATTCTGGAAACTCCTTATAGAAAAAGGGTGCTCTAGCAATCCAAACAAAAAAATTGCTGTTATGCGCCCTTAAAATGGATCTTCACCATGAAAAGAAAGTTCCCTTCTGTTCACCCTCCACTACACAAATAAGGGACTTTTTTTTATACGTTTTTACTAAAGAAGTCCTGTTCCACTTCCCCATGCATGTCACTCACCTAAGTGAATGACACTATGCTTGCTGCGCCTCCTGGGATATGCATGTTATATATCCCAGGAGGCATAGTTTGGGGGGGGGAATCAGCATGTTATTGAGAGGCCTGCCAGCTGAACCCGGAAGAGCTGGCAGCCTCCCAATGATGTCACACAAGATGATGGAGGCTCAGTACAAAACAGAGGCAGATGAGCAGAGGATTTCAGCAGGACACTGCAGGATCCGCTGGGTGGGCGAGTATCTGAAACGTGCAGAACACAGCATCAGGTAAACAGGGATTGAAAAGAAAAAGGGGAGGGGGGGGGTGAAGATCAACGTTAACCTCTTGACCTCAAGAGGATTTTACCTCATTCATGCCCAGAGCAGAAATTGTTTGCTATTCAGCACTTTCCTACTGTAATTGGCAATTGCTTGTTCATGCAGGACTGTACCCAAATTAAATTTTATATCATTTTTTCACATAAATAGAGCTTTTTTTTGCGGTACTTAGGGTTTATGTTTTTTATTGTATAAATGAAAAGAGACAGAAAATATTTAAAAAAAAAAACAAATCACCATTTTCTACTTTCTGTTATAAAACATATCCCAGTTAAAAAAAAGTTAATTTCTAAATAAAGTTAGGCCAAAATGTATTCTGCTACTTGTCCATGGTGAAAAAATCCTAATAAATGCATGTTAATTGGTTTGTGTGAAAGTTATAGCATCTACAAACTATGGTACATAAACTAGAATTTACGCAGCTATGATCAATGAACTATAGTGGGCCTGTAATAGTGTGGTGGACAATCTGGTGCTAACTGACGCTTGCTGGGGGAGGGACACTAATTGACGTAGCTAGTGACACTAATACAGTCGTCAGTGCAAATACTGTACACTGTAGTAATGACCCTGGCTGGGAAGAGATTAACATCAAGGGGCAATGAAAGGGTTAACTGTGTGCCTAACAAGTGTAATGTGTGTGATATGTGCTGCTTTTACTTGCAGAGAAGAAACAGACAGATTGCTGATCTGTGTACAAAGCCCTGTGTGTTTGTAAACACAGGGATCTGTGCTGTGATTGGTTTCAGCCGATCAGAAGGTCTCAGCCATAAATCATTGGCTTGGACCTGCTGACAAAATCCCGCAGTAGCCAGTGACAATGAGGGTTAGCAGCAGGCATGCACATGCACACCCATAACCCAGAGCAGGCTGGATCACGTACATGCACATGATCCAGTCAGCCTGTGCCGCCCACCCTCAGTAAATGGTTAAGATAAGGTTAGGAAGGGGTTCATTAACAATTTCTGCTATGTGCCCTTGATGAAGAGGAAAAGAGCACATTAGCATTACCCCAAAAATGGCTGCCATGAGCCCTTGAGGAGGAGAAGAAAAATAGCACAATAACAGTCCTTGAAAAAAATGACTGCTCTATACCCATGAGGCAGAGGAGCAGAAAGGGGTGAATTAGATGTATTATACTTATATATACCTGTGTTTGAGAATCTCAGCCTGGCATTATGGTGTACAATCTGAAAAGGTGTATTAGAACTAATATAGAAGGGCCATGACCAAGTTATATAATCAAATGAAATAACTTTTTATTATGTAATAAATTATCTACACATAAGTGTGTTTGTCTTATAATGCTAACTAGAGATATGTAGAATCAGCCTCTTTTACTGATCCTCTTAGGTATCTTTACTATCTTTATTACTAAACAGATACGTCAAAAGAAATGTCAGCAGATTCCAGCTAATTTATGGTGTATACAGTATATTCCTGTCCTTGGGCCCCTAGTGTAAAATAGTTTCTTTTTGTTCTAATGCATGAACACTGTGCAACAAGCTGAAACTGTCCTTGTCAAACTAAATAGCTGGAAGTTTTG